CATCATAAAATAAAATTACATTAATGTTTGTTCCAAAAAAAATTGGTTACCTGTTGCTCTTAAGACGGTGTGCTGTTTCTGAAGTCGCAAGAGAATGATTGTGTGTCGTATTTAAATGTGTTATCCGGTACACTCCGCCACTGATACCATGTGCAATACGTAATCCAGCTTTGCAACCACATCTCATGTTTGGTTTCTCCTTTCGAATTAATTGTATTCCGTCTGATTTTTTACGTCTAAATCCTGCACATGAACACTCCCGTTAATTTCTCAAGAAACTCGTTTTTTGTTCAAGAAACACGTTTTTTGTTCAAGAAACCCGTTAATTTCTCAAGAAATTAGTTTCTTGAGCAATAAACTCGTTTCTTGTTCAAGAAATAAATTCTATACATATCTCTTCAAATGTCGTTCGCATTGTTGCCTCTTCAAAGCATTAGAATTTTTATTTTTTTTTTATAAAAAATGTTAATTTTAACTTATATCCATTATTATAGGTATTCATAATTTTAAATTAATATTTTATATAATTAATTAAAATGTAAATTAGTACACACGATCTGAAGCCTTCACTTTAAAACATTTTTGCACTAAATTGGTCAACTATGATCAAAATCGAACATTGATGAACAATTAAACGAACTTGCTCGAATATATACTTAATTTAATGGAATTTAATTTATTATTTGATAAATGCCCTTAATTAATCTTCACCCATTTTGTTACCATTTCAATTCATTTTTTTTTAAAACTATCAACTATCAACTCCTCTAAGTTAATTAATACTACTAATTTATTAAGTCATAAGGCAAACAAAAGATCATCATAATTAATATTAATATTGTTAACATAGAACCACAACGACGAAATATTAAATAAAACACAAGCAAAAGATCGGTACAAGAAGTCACACCATTAAAGACGAAAAACAAATAAATATTTTTTGGATACCATTTTCGTGTCCCAATAAATTAGGCATTAGCGATAAATTACGAAATCATTATTTAGCTTGAATCCGATTTATAAATAAATAAATAAAGTACAACTAAAAAAGTTACAACTAAATCTAATTTTGTAGGATGCATTAAATATTGATTAGAATTTATATGTAAAATAAAATAAAAAAAAATTGGAATAGTTTTACGTGTTGCAATATTTTAAATTTAAAAAAAATTAAAAAATCTTCTTTTACGTATTGGATACCAACATTTTAGGAACTACATGGATATT